AGTAGAATTTTGACATTATTATTATTATTATTTTTTACAGACGCAATATCGACCACGGGAGGGCAAGTTAAGGCATACCTCATCTTGTTCAACTTGTTCGATTTCATAGACAGAGATGTGTTAGGTGCATCACGTTCCATTTCATTTGTTTCCAAATCGAATAAGCATCAATCTTTCATTCCAAAAATAAAGCGCTCTCCTACCCAATTTTCTCATCGAAATACATATTTGTGAGTAAACCCATGCTTAGTGTGAACCAACCGAGCAGTGAATGATATTGGCAATTATCACCATAAGTTCAAAATACTATCAACTTTTGAATACATAGTGTGATGCGGACGAAACCTATGTTCCAGGTAAACATATGTTTCCACAGCAACTTTTGTAGGCAGAATATTCGATACAGTGCATGTAATGACTTCACAAACGTCCTCCTAGGATTCTGAAAGGAGGTTTTCTAATTCTACCAATCAGTGGAAATGAAAACTGCTGGTATTATTCAGCTTGTATCGCTTTGGTGAATGAATGACAAAAATGTATTACTTGGTTCCAGATGAACACATTACCGGAACTATAACTCAACACTTCAGGTACTTACTAGTCCCTTTCTATCGAACTCGTATCCCAAACTCTTAAAACTGTCGCCATCTTTGCCCTACATCGTTCTTTTTCTTATGCCACTTCCCGAGCAACACCAGCGTGTATTTGCCGCTTGAGGCACTAGAGTAGAAGTCATTTTCAATGACAGACTTTTCTTGCTAACAGGCTTCCCTGAGTATCGCAAGTTTTACAAAACGATAAAGCCAATTCGCCATTTTCGTGATGTACCCTTTCAACAGATGTACCCCGCTCGATGAGACTCCGACGTCTGGAATGCAAATAGAATAGACTCTATTCTGAAGATTGAAGATGGTTAACAGAATCTGTTCACTTCATTCCCTTCAGGTTTTCGAAGACTAATTCTTCATGGATAATCAATAAAACCGGCAACGCTTACGCCCTGAAGCTGGCTAACAAACCACCACAATCGACCCTCCCTGATGTAGTCTATCCTGTTAAAGGGATTTCTTCTCTATCCTGTTTCTTAAACATAGAAATAAGGTCTAGCAATCACCAACTAAGCCATGAGAAAATCACCTTTTGAAAGCTTTTGAAAGTCTTAGAAATACTCCCCACAAGGTACATCAACTCTTTTGCCCGAAATCTAGAACCAGTTTCTCATACGGCACTCTTCCCACCAGAATAACTATGCACATAAATTTGTCAGTGCCATACAAAGTGCGCTCATTAAGAAGTAGTGGCTTAACTTCCGCCTAACCGCATGCTGTTTATCTGAGTCGAATTCCGCTTTTAAGTATAAATAATACCGTTGTCTATTCACCCGTTTTATGGTGATATATTTATTTAGGATTTTGCCGAAATTCATACGTTCTGTGAACGCGCATTGCTCATTCTATGAAAATCAACGGCATCCACGTAGTGTAATGAGTTTACAATTCACGAACTTAAAAATGAGGGACCAGTGGCTCAATAAAAACACATTCTTACGTTGGTTTCAAGACATTCTTGACTAGCTTATAATGGAGATAGTATAACTTTATTTTGACTAGGGCAATCAGTCTGCTCCTACCAATAGTGTGCGCTCTTTTTCTGTTCCCGTGTATGTTGATGCAAGGCAAAGAGGACTTCCTTCCCCATTTATCTGTTCAAAAGGTGTTCAGTATCTTCTTATTCAAATCATCTTTTATTGACTGAAAGTATGCCGGTGATATAATATTTGAACGCTTGTCTTCCAATTTCGGAACAAAACCTCCGCTTCATGACGGACTTAGAGAAATCGCAAAACTAATTTTAATTTTAGTCCCTTTCTCTTAATTTCTCTAAATTCAATCATTAGTCCTTTCGCTTAACTAATGCCCACCAACATACAGTTTCCATTCACACTTTACGAGAATTTCAAGTTATAAATTAAACCATGTGTAGATCAGAATTCAGTTATCCCCAATCCAGCATTTTGCACGTCACAATTAAGCGTTTAAAAAGATTTCAATTATATATGCTATTATTCATCCATTTCGTGACTAAATACATTCCATCTCATTGATATATCTGATATCTGTCGTGTATGTCCATCTTGTGGAGAAATAATACAAACGTTTTCGGTAGATCCTTTATGAACATTTCTGCACGTAATTATGTCCTCAGGGATTTCCTTGCGGCACTGTAGCATTCACCATTTACTTGCTAGTCACTAACATGTTTATAATCTTTTTTCATCCGAAATACTTGGAGGCATATACCATTCACCTGTTGTGCAGTACCCTTAAAATGACTTTATCTAAATCCCAAGCGCAAACATCAATCTTTTTCATTGAACAACCGTTCCGATTGTTTTCTGCGGCAGTGTATATACATCCACCGTAATACATCAGGAAATCACCAATTCATTCCTAAACCCTCATGGAGAAGGCTTATTATTTGTCTTGTTCTATATTTTAAGCTCAATGCCTACACTCATAAGCTGCTATTTTATATTTATCCTTTGGGATCAACATAACCATATATTCATATAGTTACACGGCTGGTCAACAAACTTTTTCTTTCTGGTTATGTTCCCTTTAGTTTTCGAATATGCAATGCGAGATTCCGAGAGTGGTTCCTACCGTTTGCGCACGGTGGGTCTTCAAATTTCATCCCAAACTATCGATACCTATAATCATCCCATCCTGAAACATTTTAACCGTATGTGGAAAAGAGACCCTTCTTTTTCGACACTTCTGGGCTGACCTAAATAAACAGTATTTCACCTAATTACTGCTTCATCCATATCACGCACTCTTCCATCATTTATCTGTTTCTCTTTTTGACCATCACTGCTATCTGTA